GTGGCCACTGCAGTGCATTATTGAACCCAGGAGACAGGTGGTGGGTGCTTTGGGAGGAAAGGTTGGTGAAAGGGCTGGAGGGAGGCAGCATGTTTGGCCTTGCAGTAACAGGCCTTGGGTTACTGCTGTCTTCCTCTTGTGAGATTAGAGGAGGTCAGAACATGTGGCCTCCTTGCTGTTTTTGCAGGCATTTAAAAAATTATCTTATTATTACAACTTAGATATATCCATAAAACAAGTTTCTAATTACCAGAAAAATATTTATTATAAAAAAATTAAATACACATACTTTTCCAAAACCCAATATTACTGTATTTCCAACTTACCAAGTGTGTAATAAATGAATTATTTCGCAAATTGACTTTTAATGTCCTTGAGTCCCCAACTCTAGTTGGCAGAAACATGTATACATCCTCTGGGGCATAAACTCCATGGCGGTTTAGGTCAATCTGCTTGCTTTGGAAAATAGGTTTAAAAGTTAACTATCTAAAATTCATAGCAATCAAAATCATTTTTATATATTAAATTATGAATTATTGCTTTAACTTGTGTGTTCTCTTACAACATAGTTTAAAAAATCATTTTGTAATGGCAATTGATCTAGATTATATGAAGATACAATGAAGAAAACAGAAGTGCTCTTATCTAAGGGTTAGGGTAGGTGATACCACATGAGAAGAAGCAATTAACACCCCCTGCACCACCTTTTTCCTTAAAGCCCAAGCTATATTGAAGGTGGCCACCTGAGCTTAGTTTATTCTACCTGGACTCTTCATACTGTAGTCTGATGCTGCTCTTATGTTTCACAAGGACACAGACTGCTCTGAGAACTTGATCCACACTGTAGCATCCCAGAAGCATTTGATGATGGTGCCACTTCCTCCTGCCATGGCCTCCTTGATACCACTACTGACTCCCATTTGCTGGTCATCCTCAGCCTTTTCTGCAGTCTCATCCTCTACAACTCAACCTGTAATGGGTTTCCACCAGGTCTTGTCCCGGACACCCTAACTTTTCATACAACACTGCCTTTGCTGCCAGTGTATTCAGTGACTTTCACACTGACATGACTCCCAGATTTATAGTTTAGCTCAGACTTACTAGCCTCTGGACAACATACCTATATATTTAATCACTACATAATCATCTCCCATTTCTCTGGTTGTTTCAAAAACATCAGTCTCGACAAATACAAAGCTAAATGCATGCTGTTTCTCCTCAAACCCATAGAAGCCAATCTTGACACCCCTTCTCTCCCACATCCCTTTATTTGATCCATACGGGTCCTTCCAAATTTCCATTCTATTTCTACATTGTATTTCTCAAATCTCTTTTCCTCTTGTTAAAACTTCCTTAGCCCCTGATGACTCAAAAACAGACTTCTAACTTGTTTAACCATATCTACTCTTGCCTCTTTCTAACTAAGCCAGAGGCTGTTTCTAAATACTCAATCTGATTGTGTCACTCAATGGCTCTCAAGATAAACAGCCAAACCCTTACCCTGACATATAGGCCCTGCTTGGTCTGGACTCTGCCTGTCTACCTTTCTAGCCTCACTCACACCACTCTCCCCTCCCACTTGCTGTGGTCTACACACATGGCCTTCTAGCATTCAGGAGCACAAAGCCCCTACTGCCACAGACCCTTTATACAGGCTGTTCCAGGAAGTTTTTCCAGATATCACAGACCAAGGTCCTCTGTCATGTTTTCCCATGTTAGGTGCCACTGAGTTTATTCCAAGTCATAGCAACCCTATATACAACAGAATGAAATACTGTTCTGTCCTGTACCATCCTCACAATCCTTGCCATGCTTGAAACCATCATTGCAGCCACTGTGTCAATTCATTTTGTTGAGCATCTTCCCCTTTTTATCTGAGCCTCTACTTTATCAAGCATGATATTTTTCTCCAGGGATTGATCCACAAAGTCTGACCATTCTCGCTTCTAAGGAACAGTCCAGCTACACTTCTTCTAAGACAGAACCATTTCCTTCTAGCACTTTTCAGTTTATAAAGAAACATTTTTGTGTGATTTTTAGACTGATGTGGCTGCTCCTCCATGAAGGCCAGGACTATACTGGCTTTGCCTACTCTTTGATCTCTAGGACCTGGAGTAAGCATGCAGTAAGTAGAGATGAATGAATGAATAAAAAGCATACAGAAAGAGTATGCTAAGAAAAATACTTTTAAATACAATCCTACTTAGGAGAACAAAAGGCAGCGTATGCACAGGGAGACAACTGAGGGGCAGGAATGAATGGAAGGGAGGGACACAGCAAAGCGGTAACTACAGGAAGTGGCAAGAGAGCTGTTACAATGTGGGGAACTGCAGGCAATGTCATGAGACAAAATGTGTATATGAACTGCTGTACTGAAAAGGAATTTGCTCTGTAAACTTTCACCCAAATCACAATGAAAAAAAAAAAAAAAAACTTATTTCTTCCAAAATTCATTTTCTAATACAGTAGGCCCTCAGTATTCATGGGTTCCTCATATCCCCAGATTGAAAATATTTGAGGGGAATAAAAAAGCAATTAAATGGTCAAAGCAATCCCTCAAAAGCAAAGAGGGACCAGAAAGTGCAATTTATATAGCATTTACATTGCATTAAAAAAAACCCAAACCCAAACTCACTGACATCTAGTTGATCCCCACTCATAGTGACTGACCCCCACTGGGTTTCCAAGGCTGTAAATCTTTGCAGAAGCAGACTGCCTTATCTTTCTTCCACAAAGTGGCTGGTGGGTTCGAACCACCGACCTTTTGTTTAGCAGCCAAATGTCTTAACCACTATACCACCAGAGTTCCTTCTTACATTGTATTGTTGTTGTTGTTATGTGTCGTCGAGTTGGCCCCGACTAATAGCGACCCCTCCTTGGGTTGCCGAGGCAGTACCACTATGGAAGTAGATTGCCCAACCTTCCTTCCAAGGAGTGGCTGGTGGGTTTGAACCGCCAGCCTTCTGGTTAACAGTCAAGTGCCTTAGGCACTATGCTACCAGAGCTCCTTACACTGTATTAAGTACTATAAATAATCTAGAAATTATTTAAAGTATACAAGTAAGCAAATTATATGCAAAGTCTACACCATTTTATATAAGGGACATGAGCATTCTCGGATTTTGGTATCTGGGAGGGTCCCAAAACCAATTCTGCATGGATACTGAAGGATGACTGCATTCCTATTAGAAAATAAATAACCAAATTTATATTAAATTCAGAATGCATTTAAAAATATTTTTCTTCAAAGCATCTTTTTCTCCAGAACCAAATAAGACCTAAATTATTAGTTATTGAGGGGTTATAGAAACATTTTTCATTAGATAAAATACTTAAAGACATATTCTTAAGTTTTTAATCTACTTTCTTATATTGCTTTGTGGATATGTGAAACAGTACATTCACTTTGGGAAAACTATTTCACAGTTTAAACAACATATACTATGATCCACCAAATCTACTTTTAGTAATTTTTATCACCTCTCCCAAATTAAAACCTGTACCTACAAAAATAGGAGCTCTGGTAGTGTAGTGCCTAAGGCATTTGACTGCTAACCAGAAGGCTGACAGTTCAAACCCACCAGCCACTCCTTGGAAGGAAGGCTGGGCAATCTATTTCCATAGTGATACTACCTCGGAAACCCAAGGAGGGGTCGCTGAGTCGGGTCCAACTCAACGGCATATAACAACAACAACCTCCTACAAAAATGTACGTACAATAATGTTTATACCTCCTTAGTTTATAATGTTGTTATTGTTGTTATGTGCCATCAAGTCGACCCTGACTCATAGCGACTCTTCCTTGGGTTTCCGAGGCGATATCGCTACAGAAGTAGGATTGCCCAACCTTCCTTCCGAGGAATGGCTGGTGGGTTTGAACCGCCAGCCTTTTGGTTAGCAGTCAAGTGCCTTAGGCACTATGCTCCCATAGTCCCAAACTAAAAGCCACCTAAATATCAACTAGAAAATGAATACATATATTGTGACATACTCATATAATGAAATACTAAACAATCAAATGGAACAAACTATGCTGTAGTTGTTGTTGTTGTTATGTGCTGTCGAGTCGGCCCCGACTCATAGCAACTCCTCCTTGGGTTGCCAAGGCAGTATCACTACAGGAGTAGACTGCCCAACCTTCCTTCCAAGGAGTGCCTGGTGGGTTTGAACCGCCAGCCTTCTGGTTAGCAGTCAAATGCCTTAGGCACTATGCTACCAGAGTTCCCTATAGGGACACTAAACTTGAAACATACTAGGTTAAGTGAAAAAAGCCAGACACAAAAGTACATTATGTACATGAAGTTCAACCAAAACTAATCTATGGTGACAGAAATCAGAATAGAACAGAATGAAAGTTGGGATAGGGGTGGAGGAATGACTGCAGAGAGGCATGTAGGGTGACAGAAATATTCTACATCATGATGACACTGGTGGTAACCATGTAAAAATACTGAGGACTTTACTGAATATAATTATATCTCAATAAAGTACTGGGAAAAATGAACAAGAATGACATAATAGCATACCTGGGTATAAGCGCAGAGGCCTCAGATACAGCTCGTCTTCGGGGCCTAACAGAATTATCTATCTTAATAAGGGTGTCTGTAGAAATGCATGCACTTTCAGGGTCACTTTCTGCTTTGATACTCTGCATAGATAAATCACAGGGCAAGAGGAGAAATAAATATTCCAGGGAAATATTTGGACATTTACCAATTTGAAATCTACTATGTCCTTTAAAATTTTTCAAAAGGAGACTTAAGATTTTTCAATTAGCCACATCAAAACCACTATACATTGTACTATTTAGTTTCTCACACACAGAGATACACATTATCTTACTTAATTTCAATCAACCCTGGGTTTCATGAGTTGTGTCAACAACAGAGCCAAACTCAGACCTCAAATATGCCAGTCAATAAAGACAGACAAAAATAAGATTATAGGCTTTCCAGCAGAATTAGTGAAAATTAAAACTATCAGGAAAAAAGCCTGTAATTTCAGACCAGTCATTCATGTCAGTTGCACATAGTGGTTTTAACAGATACACAGTGATTAGATTTGAGGGCAATATTTACCTTTCCAGAGAGCTGGAACCTCAATGTGTGCTTCATGTGGGGTTCTTTCAAGGGGTGACACTCAACATCCCAAAACTGAGCATAATTCCCTCCATCTCTGGGCAAAAATGTGATGCAGACCTACAAAACACACATACCCAGAAAGAAATCTAGATAGTGAACTTTATAAACACGTAGTCAGATCACCAATTCAAGGATTTGGCATAAAAACATTGAAGGAACGGTTTTTACATTGGCTAGTTTTGCCACTAATTGAAAAAGAATCTGATTCTTTCTGGTATAGTTATTATTACACCAGATGACACCAAATGCTAAATTTTTGTTTAAGACTCTATATAAAATATTCCTCAAAATGTATATTAAATGTATTTGGTTTTGTGTCCTTGAGAAGAAAAATAAGAGCTGTCCCATACAAGACCTAAATGAGAATGGTCACACCCCAGAAATACAGTCCAGACCTTGCTAGGTCTTCCAATGCAATGCTATGGCACCCTCTGCTGGCCATGTGATAAAAAGACAGAGGCCTGACAGCCATTCATTGTGGACTAAGGGACTCTCACATGAGTGACAGAAAACCACAAGCACCACTGTGCAAAAACACACCAACTCGTGCCACTAACCTCAGAGTGCCAGTCAGGAACAGTATCTCTGACCATGTAGTTCAGTTATATATACAATCTTCACAGTACAAAAAAAAAAAGAAGCTTCCGTTAAAAAACAAAAAAATCCTGATTCTGATTCATAGAGACCCAATAAAACAGAGCAGAAATGCCTTCTAAATTTTCTAAGACTGTAATCTTTACAGAAGCAGACTGCCTCTATCTTCTCCCTGCAGAGTGGCTGGCAGATTGGAACTGCTGACCTTTCAGTTAGCAACAGAGCAGTTAATAAGCAATCAGTATCTTTGAGTCGGCTAGAGAAAAAAAAAAACTAGCAATTCAGAACTGAAGACTCTTGGGAGAATGTAGGCAGAGGCAAGGAACTCTGGTAGCACACTGCCTAAGGTATCTGACTGCTAACCAGAAGCTTGGTGGTTCAAATCCATCAGCCACTACGTGGAAGCCAGACTGGGCAATCTACCTCTGTAAAGATTTACTGCTTTGGAAATCCAATGGGGGTCACTATGAGTCAGAATCAACTCAAGGGCAATGGGCTTGGTTTGGTGTTTTTGGTAGGCAGAGGCAAGGTAAAGAGGATGAGACGGGTTTAAACTGTTGAAGATAATATTGCCACTAAGAAAATTAAGGAGTGAAAACAACCATCTCCTACAATTTACCTGAAACCACTGGGAACTGTATGTATGTATTACATAACCTATAGATTCCAAATTAAACTCTCTTCAAACTCCCCCCCCCCCAATAAAAAGGGAAGAAAGAGGAAGAAAAAATACAAATATTGGTGAATGGTATACACTAGGCACTTGTTGCAAACTGTAACATTCATTAAATTTTCGCATCAAACTGACAGTTGTTTCACAAAATTAGTGTATATACCTGACTTTAAAATACATTATAACTAAAAAATTTATTATTTTTTTCCTTTTGTATTACTGCCTGTGGTAGTTAACATTATGTGTCAACTTGGCTGGGCCTAGTTTTGAGTGGCTGGGCAGCTAGATGTAGTTATTCCCCATGGTGAGATTAATAATTAACTCCATGGTGGAATTTACTGGAACATCAGCTTTAGGGATATAGGCTGCTTCTGTACATAAGAAGCAACTTTGAGGAAGGTCTCCAGCTTTTTGGCATGCTTGAACACTGCATATAGCTGAGTCGTTGTTCAGCAGCCTGCCATGCCCTGTCGATTTTGGGATTTTTTTCTGGATTTCAATTAGTGGCCTGCTGTCTGTTTGTTAATATTGGGACTGTGCCTTTTCACTTGTCAACTGGGTTTTTCAGCCTTAGCAGCCAGCAACTGCCTGAGTGAAGAAAAGCTTCCAGCTTCAGTGGGCTGGGAGTAAGAGGCAGAGCTGAAGCCCAAGGTTGAGGGGCTTTCACCCAGCTCCTAGAGTCTGCCCCCTTTTAACTTGGACTTCTAGCCTCCAAAACAGTAAAGAATAAACTCCTGTCTGTTCAAGACACCCATTTGTGTTATCTTCTGTTAGAGCAGCATGAAGTAACCAAAACACTGCTATGTACATCAATCATTGTGCTTTTAGTACTATCTTCCTAAATGTTCCCAGAATAATGTGTTTCGTTGGTTTTCCCTCTCTAATTAATATTCATAAAGTAACCACACCTAGAATTAACTTATCAAAAATAAGCTTAGTTCTTGCAGTGTCATAATTAGTTCAAGTTCATGATATACAGAGACCAATACCCAGAATCAATGACTTCACAGAGCTGACCCTTCTATGTAAGGATTGTGTGAAAATGAGAAATTCCTGGTAGAGAATCTAGACCTACACTTTCATTCTTTCTACAGCTTATGGAGATATAATTGATATACCATACACTTCACCCATTTCAATGGTGCAAATACTGGTTTGCAGTATATTCACAGAACTGTGCAACCATCATGAAAATCTAATTTTAGAACATTTTCAACACCCCAAAAGAACTCCCACACACATCAGCAGTTAGTCTCCATTTCCCCAATCCCCACTGCAGCCCTAGGCAATCACTACTTTCTGTCTCAAATAGAATTTGCCTTATCTAGACATTTCACATAAATGGACCATATAATATGTTGTCTTTTGTGACTGGCTTCTTTTCTGGATTCATCTATGTTGTATCATGTATCAGTATTTCACTTCTTTTTATGACATATACCATGAAAATAAGAGATGGAACTCGCAAGGACTGCCTTGTTTTTCCAGATCTTGCAAATTTTCCACTTTTGATAGGGTACTGTTTTACCACTTTCCCATCTCTAGTAGTGGAAAACACTTAAGTTTTCTTTCTACGACAGGTTTCGGCCTTACACAGGTGCTGGCTTTTGCAGATTTTACTGTCTACCCCCAACCTTTTTTTTTTTTTTAAATCTGTTCATCTGTTACAGACAGGACACGGGGTTGTTTCCCTGTTTTGGCTATTGTGAACAGTGCTGCTATGAACACTCATGTACAAGTTTTTGTTTGAATACCTGTTTTCAATTCTTTTGGGTCTTCACTTAGGGGTGGGATTGCTGAGTTGTATAGTAATTCTATGTTTAACTTATTGAGGAACTGCCAAACTGTTTTCCACAGTAGCCGTATCATTTTACATTCTTACCAGCTACTGATGAGGGTCCCAATCTCTCTACATCCTTACCAACATTTGTTATTTATGTTTTTCTTAAATAAAAAGATATTTTAACTTGAATCTTTTTAAGTTTTATTACGGTAAAAAATATATAAGTGTAAAATATTTGTCATTTAAATGATTTATTTTTTATTTGATTTGGGTAGAAGTTTACAGAGCAAAGTCACTTTCCATAAAATATATGGAATGCTTTACGAATTTGCGTGTTAGCCTTGTGCAGGGGTCATGCTAATCTTCTCTGTATCGTTCCAATTTTAGTATATGTGCTGCCGAAGCAAGTGTCATTTAAACAATGTTTAAGTATGCAATTCAGTGACATTATTTACTTTCACTATGTGGTGCAACGATTCCCACTATCCATTTCCAAATGTTTTTCTTCACCCTGAACTCAGTACCCATTAAGCACTAACTCCCCACTTGCCTTCCCCTCCTGTAAGTAAACCTTTCTAAGAATTTGTTGATTCTAATGTTTCATATAAATAAATAAATAACCACATCAAAGCAGTGCCATCGAGTTAATTCTGACTCATACTGACCCTATAGGTCAGAGCAGAACTGTCCCCTAGGGTTTTTCAGGGCTGTAATCTTTATGGAAAAAGACTGACACCTTTCTCCCCAGGAATAGCTGGTCAGCTCAAACTATGGCCCTTTCATTTAGCAGAATGAGATCATTTGTCCTTTTCTGTCTGACTTATTTCATTCAACACACCATTTTCAAGGTCTTCCATACTGTACATGTATGAGAACTCCATTTCTCTTTATGGCTCAATAATATTCCACTGTATGGATATACTACATTTTATTAATCAACTCATCTCTTGATATATAATTCGCTTGCTTCCATCTTTAGGCTATTGGGAATAATTCTGCCATGAATACTCCTTTCAATTATTTGGAGTATGTATCTAGAATGGAATTGCTGGACCACATGGTAATTCTATGTTTATCTTTTTGAGGAAGTGTCAAATTGCTTTCCACAGCAGCTACACCATTTTACAATCCCACCAAAAAATACACAAGAGTTCCAATTTCTCCACATCCTCACCAACTATTTTTATTTTTCATTTTTCTGATAATAGCCATCCAAGTAGGTGCAAAGTGGTATCTCACCGTGTTTTTTAAATTGTGCTAGCAAAAAATAAAACATAAAATGGAGCAGGCTCTCAAGAAAGAGTTAATGTGAATCATGCTTGGGCAAACAAGGGCAGAGACGAAGAAGAAGTGGATGTTCTAGGATAATATATAAAAAGAAGGGGAAGTATGTAATGAAAATGTTCTAGAAAAAACTGCTTACTCAAACTGTCATCAGGAAATGTTTGTCAATAAATAGATAAAATAACTTTCTGACGTTACTGATAGAATAGTGTGTGGCATGTACACACAAAAGCACAAAAACAGCATGAGATACTGCAGGAACTGTAAGTACTTCAGTCTGATTTTCACCACAGTTGTAGGTGGTGAAGAGGTAGTAGATGAGGCAAAAACCGCAGCAGACAAAAGTATCATGGAAAGGAATTTGCTTTTGATCTTATGTGGACTGAAAAGCTTTTTTTAAAAAGAATGATTAATTGATACGAAGAACAAACTTTTTTTTTTTTTTAAATAGCTGTGGTGTTGGTCACATTGAATCCTGTGGATACACTCTGCCCTCTGTACTTTCACTTTTCTGTACTTTCACTCTGTGCTGCCTGATTTGAATTGCTATTCCTACATCAAACTGTTCTTACTCCTAAGGGAGTATAAGATTTTCTTCTTTCACAAAATAATATTTTATTGTTTTTTTCAAAGTTTACACAGAAGGGTAGCTTCCCATTTGACAATTTCTACACAAATTGATCAGTGACATGAGCTACATTTATCCCAATGTGTCAACACAGTCTCTTTAATCATGTTCTGCTTGTTCCATTTCTGGTACTCTAGTTTCTCTGCCCCATTATCTTCTCATCTTTGCTTTAAAGTAACCATTCATCTTTTTGTCTCATATAGATGACTTTTTAATGGATTACCATACTTCTGGGTAACATCCTTTATTCTGTGTGCCAATCTATTATTTGGCTAAAAGGGATCTCAGGGAATAGTTTTGGTTCAAAGTGTAAAGAGTATCTCAGGATGACAGTCTTAGGGCAACCTCTAGACTCAACGAGTTCACTAAGTCTGGACTTTTTAAGAATTTGAATTCTGTTCTTTATTTTTTTCCCAACCAAAGTCTGGACTTTTTAAGAATTTGAATTCTGTTGTTTCTTTTTCCAATCTATCAGGGTCCATCTATTGTGGCCCTGGTCAGAATAGTCAGTAATGGTAAGCTAGGAACCATCTAGTTTTTCTGGTCACTGTGGTTTTAATTTGCACTTCCCTAATGACTACTGTATTTTTATGCAAGTTAACACATGCATCTTATTTATTTTATTTTTTTGCCAACCACATCATCCTTCTGCGATGTATTTTCTTAAGCATACTATGCTAGTAATGTATTGTTTTAATATAGTACTTTTGAAATTAAGAAGTAACTTCTGTTTTGTCCTTTTGAATGTTTTGATTATTCAAGTCTCCTTGAAATTTCTTACAAATTTGAGAATTGGCTTTCCCATTTCTGCCCCCTCAAAAAAAGGCTGTTGGCATTTCCGTAGGGACTGCATTAAATCTGCTTTGGGTAGTAGTGACATTTATTACTGTACTTTTCATGTAAATAACATGTGTGTTCTACCTTTTTCTGCCAATCATGCCATCCCACACGGGATAAAAACTTTTGTTTTTTATAATGCCCCACTGCCCAGGCAAAGCATTTTTGTAAGTATACCATGCTAATTTTTTTTTAATGTTTTCGATCAAAGATAAAGAACTTATGTTTTGATGTTTCAGTCAGCTGACAAGTTTTTCGTAGCAAGACTTCCTTGCTGCAGGAAACAGTACGTTAATTTCCATTTCTCTTGTGGCAGACTGGCACTTTGAGTAGCACTGGTCTAGGTAAAACTGATTTGCAAGGAATAAAATAAAGCACTCCTGGCTGCTTACCATGATGTTATCACCAAGTGATGGAGAAAATGTCAAAACTCACCTTTAGGATTCCATGGCTTTCCAAAATGCCAGAAATAGGAGTACATCTGAATGCTGCATAGGTGGCTCTAAAAACATCCCCACTTTCATCAACTCCCTACAGAGGAATCGTTTAAACAATCAAATTAGAAAACACAGAGAAAACCTCAACTAAATGAGTTGGTGGAACAAATACTAGTAACATCAAAACATGCCTATATTCAGTTTTTAAAATATCCTGCAAAAATTCTAAACATTAAAATGAATATACTTAATTATTACTGACCTTGACATAAGCTGGAGCTAAAGATGACAGATGCCACTTTATTTCTGTGTTACCATGATTCTCAAGTTCCAGATAATTTTCTAAAAAGGACACATGTATAACAATTCAAAAAAATCGTGGAGAGGCAAGTAAACAAGCAGATTAATGTGTTACATCTCATATCATCATAGGAAAAAAAAATACTATCATAAGATGTCTAAAGAAGTCACAGTATTTCCTATCAAATCAAATTTGACAGAGATCCTATTTTGGAGTTTATTCTAAGAGCAATGGAAAGCTAAAGCAAGGAGGCAATAAGATGATTTACATTTTTAAAGTCTTACTGCCTACTGTGTAGAAAAGAGATTCTAATGGGTAAGTGTGGAAGAAGGGAGACCAATAAGATGTCACTGCAGTAGTCTGGCTGAGAGATAATAGCTTGTATTGAAGGCAGGTGTGGGATCTATTTTGAAGATAGATTTGAAAGGACTTGCTGCTAATGGACTGGATGGGAAGGGGGAAAGAGAGGAAAGAAAAGAAATCAGAGATTAATTCTACATAACTAGTATAATTAAATGAGAAGACAGTGCTGTCACTTATCAAGATGGGCAAGACTGGAGAAGAAGTAGGTTTCTGTAGGTAAAACCAAGAGTTCTATTTAGGGTATATTAAGTTTGAATTCTACCACTTGTCTGTCACTGCCATACTATGGTGGCTTGCATGTTGCTGAGAGGCTGGAGGCTAAGCCACCAATATTTCAAATACCAGCAGGGTCACCTATGGTGGACAGGCTTCATTGGCACTTCTAGACTAAGACATTCTTGAAAGGAGGAAGGGGACATCCACTTCTCAAAGAGTTGGCCAGTGAAAATCTTATGAACAGCAGTGAAACACTGTCTATTACTAAAAACTTTATGAAAAGCCCTGAAACATTGTCCTATGTAGTGTAGAAGACAAGCCCCTCAGGTCAGAAGGAACTCAAAATACCACTGGGTAAGTAAGAGCTGCCTCTTCAGAATAGAGGACCTTAATGATGTGGATGGAGTAAGATTTCAGGACCTCCATTTGCTGATGTGGCACAACACAAAATGAGAAGAAAAAACTGCAAACATCCATTAATAATAAGAACATGTAACGTACAAAGTATGAATCTAAGAAAACTGAAAGTTGTCAAAAAAAGAAATGGAACGCATAAAGATTGATATTCTAGGCATGAGTGAGTTGAAAAGGAGCTCTGGTGGCATAGTGCCTAAGGGATTTGACTGCTAACCAGGAGGGTGGCAGTACAAACCCAACAGCCGCTTCTCGGAAGGAAGGCTGGGCAATCTACTTCCACGGTGATATCGTCTCGGAAACCCAAGGAGGGGTCACTATGAGATGGATCTGACTTGAGGGCAGTGAGTTAGAGTGACTTCAAATGGATTCGTTTTGGCCATTTTGAATCAGACAACCACAGGATGTACTATGCCAGGAATGGCAAATTGAAGAAGAATGGCGTGGCATTTATCATCACAAAGAATGTTTCAAGATCTATACTGAAGTACATTGCTGTCTCTCTTCTTTCCAAGGAGTGGCTGGTGGGTTTGAACTGCCAGCATTCTGGTAAGCAGTGAAGTGGCTTAGGCACTATGTCACCAGAGCTCCTACATTGTTGTCAATTATAAGGTAATATCCACATGCCTACAAGAAAGACTAGTTAATATGTCTATTATTCAAATTTACACACCAACCACCAAAACCAAAGATGAAGAAACTGAAGATTTTTACCAACTTCTGCAGTCTGAAATTGACCAAACATGCAATCAAGATATGTTGATTATCACTGGTGATTAGAACACAGAAGTTGGAAACAAATTAGAATCTACAGTAGTTGGAAAATATGGCCTTAGTGACAGAAATAATGTTGGAGATCGCATGATGGATTTTTGCAAGACCAAAGACGTTATTCATTGCAAATACCTCTTTTCAACAACACAAATGGCAGCTATACACATGGACTTCACGAAATGGAGTACATGGGAATCAGATTGACTACATCTGTGGAAAGAGGGGATGGAGAAGCTCAATATCTTCAGCCTGAACAAGGCCAGGAGCTGATTGTGGAACAGACCATCAAATGCTCATATGCAACTTCAAGCTGAAGTTCAAGACAATTAAAACAAGTCCACAAAAGCCGAAATATGACCTTGATTATATCCCTCCTGAATTTAGAGACCATTTAAAGAACAGATTTGATGCACTGAATACCAATGACCGAAAACCAGAGGAATTGTGGGATGACATCAAGAACATCATCCATGAAGAAAGCAAAAGGTCATTAAAAAGACAGGAAAGGAAGAAAAGACTAAAATAGATGTCAGAAGAAACTCTGAAACTTGCTTTTGAAAGGAGAATAGCTAAAGCAAATGGAAGAAATGACAAGATAAAAGAGCTGAACAGAAGATTTCAAAGAGCAGCTCAAGAAGACAAAGTCAATTATTATAATGAAATGTACAAAGACCTGAAGTTAAAAAATCAAAAAAGAAGGATATGCTTGGCATTTCTCAAGCTGAAAAACCTGAAGAAAAAATTAAAACCTCAAGTTGCAAAACTGAAAGATTCTATGGACAAATTATTGAATGATGCAGGAAACATCAAAAGAAGATAGAACAAATACACGGAGTCACTGTACCAAAAAGAATTGGTCGATGTCCATCCGTTTAAGGAGGTGGCATATGATCAAGAACCAATGGTATTGAAGGAAGAAGTCAAAGATACACTGAAGAAACTGTTGAAGAACAAGGCTCCAGAAATTGACAGAATACCTACTGAGATGTTTCATCAAATGGATGCCACACTGGAGGCACTCACTAGCCTGTGCCAAGAAATCTAGAAGACAGCTACCTGGCCAACTAACTGGAAAAGATCTATATTTGTATCCATTCCAAAGAAAGGTGATCCCACAGAATGTAGAAATTATCAAACAATATCATTAACATCACACACAAGTAAAATCTTGCTGAAGATAATTAAAAAATGGTTGCGGCGGTATATTGGCAGAAAGCTTTTAGAAATGAAAGCTAGATTCAGAAGAGGCTGTGGAATGAGGGATATCATTGCTGATGTCAAATGGATCTTGGCTGAAAGCAAAGAATACCAGAAAGATGTTGACTTGTGTTTTATTGACTGTGTGAAAACATTTGATTGTGTAGATAACAACAAATTATGGATAACATTGAGAAGAATGGGAATTCCAGAACACTTGACTGTGCTCATCAGGAACCTGTACATAGACCAGGAGGCTGTCCTAGGAACAGAACAAGGAGATACTGCATAGTTTAAAATCAGGAATGAAGTGCATCAGAGTTGTATCCTTTCACCACACTCAACTTGTATCTGAGCAAATAATCCGAGAAGCTGGACTATATGAAGAAGAACGTGGCTCAGGACTGAGGAAGACTCATTAACAATCTGTGATGTGCTGACAACACAACTTAGCTTGCTGAAAGTGAAGATGACTGATGAAGATTAAAGCAATATGGATTATACCTCAACATAAAGAAAACAAAAATCCTCACAACAGGACCAATAGCATCATGGCAAATATACCACACTAGGCAAATTGGCTGCAAAAGACTCTTTAAAGTTCTGAAGAGCAAAAATGTCTCCCTGAACACTAAGCTGCACCTAACCCAAGGCATGTTATTTTCAATTGCCTCATATGTATGTGAGAGCTGGATAATGAATAAGGAAGACCAAAGAAGAGTTGATGTTTTTGAGTTGTGGTATTCACAAAGAACACTGAAAGTACCATGAACTGCCAAAAGAACTAACATATCCATCCTGGAAGAAGTGCAGTCGGAATGCTCTTTGGAATTGAGAGTGGCCAGACTTCGTCTCACCTACTTTGGTCAAAAAGTGGAGGGTGAGAGAAAACGGGGAAGGTCCTGAACAAGGTGGATTGAAACAGTGGCTGCAATGATGGGCTCAGATATAGCAAGGATTGTGAGGCTAGCACAGGACCGGGCAGTGTTCTGTTCTGTTGTACACAGGGTCGCTGTGAGTCAGAGATGACTTGATAGAACCCAACAAGAAGTTTGAATTGCCTGGAAGACATTCAAATATAGTAGTCTAGTATATCAGAGTTCTGGGCTGGGTTATAGCCCTGAATAGTAATTAGAGTCACGGACTGCATGAGGTTATCCAGAGAAGATGCGCTGAAAGAAAAAAAAGGGGACATGGATAGGTCCAAAACCTGGACTATGTCAAATTTTAGAAGTAATCAAGTGACTGAGAAAAACCCAGAGAGTTGGTACCACAAGAGCTAAGGAGGAAGTAGTAGTTCACAGTATCAATAGGTCAAATACACAAAGTCAGAAAAAAGGATCTCTGGATTTGGCAAATTTTATGAGAATGATGGCGAATGCAGCTAAGCCACCTGTCCCCAGAAGTGAAAGCAGTGAGTAGAAGTCTTTTCCTATGAAGGGATGCAGAAAAAGGAGGCACCAGCAGAAAGGAGATATGAAGCAAGAAAAAGGCTTACCTTAAATGGACAGTGGAGCTTATGTGTGTGTTGACAGGTATGTGGCAACAAAGAGGGAGGGACTGATGACACAGGAAAGACTAGGGACCACAGCAACATGAAGTCCTTGAGAGGGTAAGAAGTGATGGGAGCTCAATTCTAAGTTGAGGGGTTGGTGTGTGATGGAAATAGAAATTGCTTCTATATGTGCAATGATGTATAAGGTACACTGAAGAGACAGAAAAGGTTAAAGCAGGGGTCAGGAGTTGAGGGATGGTGGGAGCCCTGAGAACAAAGACAGTGTCCAATAACTATGTTGGAGAGAGGAACATGCAACTGAGGTGGACAGAAAGGCTTAGTGTAGGGGTATGTGAGACCTGTAACTGTCAAACAGCAGCACATACGGTTTGCTCCAACCACATTCTACTGCTACAGACAATGGAGTAAATATTTGGGTTTAACCAGTGTTGGGGTTTGCCAGGTGGGAATGGAGAGGGAAAGGGGCACAAGCAGTTAAACGTATTTGTGAGTCATTGACTATAATGGACCACAGAAGTCAAGGAGGGTTATGATAGAAATAGGACATAACTGGGGTAAAAGAGTAGGTTGCTGGAGTGTGGTAACAAAGTGTGGTGATAGAGTGGGGTGGGGGAGGAGAGCAGGGTGGTGAAGTAGAGAGATTGAGTGAGGTGATGGATTTGGGTGATAGAGCAGGATGGCAGAATGGTGAGATAAAGTGGAGCAGAGTGGTGGAGCAAGGTAGCAGAGCAAGGTGATGGGGTGGGTGATGGAGTGACAGTGAACTGTTGTTGTTGTTGTTTGTCGTTATGTGCCGTCGAGTCAGACCTGACTCATAGCGACCCCTCCTTGGGTTTCCGAGGCAGTATCACTACAGAAGTAGATTGCCCCATCTTCCTTCCGAGGAGTGGCTGGTGGGTTTGAACCGCCAGCCTTCTGATTAGCAGTCAAGTGCCTTAGCCACTATGCTACCAGAACTAGGGTGGGGTAACATGGTGATAGGAGTGGAGTGGAGTGACAGAGTTGAGTGGGATAGTGGAGAGTGAAAAAGTAGCAGAGTCAATGGACTAGAGGGTAAATGTGGTCAAAGAACTACTGGAATTCTTAGAGTAAGTGAGCAGGAAACATGTAGGAGTGTGTGTGCGTGTGTGTGTGTGTGGGGGGGGTCAGGAAATGTCAGGTTGGAAAATGAGATGTAGAATGTGGTGCAGCTGTTGCTGATGACAAGGTGCAGGATATAACCATAAAAGGAGTGACCTGGACAAAGTGGAAAATGAAATCAACAAGAGTCAAGGAGCCCGAGGTCCCAAATTCTACCTAAAAGGCAGGTCCTATGTACAATTCACAATGGAAACTTCAGCCTACACAACCCTGAGACCAGAAGAACTAGATGGCACCTACTGCCAGTCACCTGGAAAAAGATTAAAATTGGAGATCTTGGACAGAGTGGGAGAAAAATGTGGAACAAAACTCAAAATCATAAAAATAACCAGGCTTACTGGTCTGATAGAAACTGGTGAAAACCCTGAGACTACGGCCCTTAGTCAATCTTCAGGCCTGGAACTGAACTCACTCCCATGACTTAACTTTTAGCCAAACAAGAGATAGGCCTAGGAAGTGAACAATTACACGAGGGAGGCACTCTTCAAAACAATCAACTATGGGAGATCAGAAGGGCAGCATTAGTGCAGGGAGAAAGCTCAGAAGACAGTAATGCATGGTAAAGAAAGACACAGGGAAAAGGTAACCACAGGAAGGCAGTGGGAAGAAAGCTATTACCTTATGGGGATTGCAATCAATGTGATGAAACAAAATGTGTATGAACAACTGACTGGAACAAGAATTTGCTCTGTAAACTTTCACCCAAATCACAAGAAAAAGTTAAAAATAAAATAAAATTTTCAAGTTCCCCCAAAACCAATCCATCATTTACATTATGGCCAATGATGACATGCTTTTCTCCTATAGCAGGGGAAATTTGTAACAGTCCCTAACTTAGGGCTAACTAAGAACACAGCTTTAGACTCAATTTGTCAGTTGTTGTTAGGTGCCATCATGTTGATTTTCGACTTAATAGACCCCATGTGACATAACAGAATTGCACCATAGTGTATCCTAGGCTGTCACTTTTATGGGACCAGACTGCCAGGTCTTTCTCCTGTAATGCTACTGGATGGGTTGAAACTGCCAACCAATGATTAAGTCAAGCACTTAATCACTGAGCCATCAGGGCTCCTTAATTTATCAGTAGATACTTGAATTACAATTTTGTGATAATATACCTGACGTTTCACCAGGTTCTGTTGTAGGAAAACTAATAGTCTTGTTTCTTATTTCCACTTTTGTGGAAGGCGGTTGAGTCATTGGTTTCACAAGGTGACCAATGGAAAGCTCTGACATTAAAGGAAGGATTCCAAATGGGCTGGAAGCCAAACAAGTGAAAGGGCGCTCTTCTCGGGTCAAATCTTCTTGAATTTGAACTTTCACAATTTTCTGAAATAAGTCAAATAAAGATATAAGACACAAATGCAATCATCATTGTAAAAGAAACAATTTGTATTTTTAAATCATTGTAGATAAAAAAGTAACATCAAACAAATGAAACACTGATGATTTTAGAAATTAAAGCTAATGCAGTTCTCAAACAAAGTAACTCTTTGACTCTTTGTCCTCTCCCCCATCTTCCCTCTTTTTTAAATCAGCAATGACTTCTAGGCCAACCCCACCTCCAACCAAGAGAATTATTCAGATTAAAAAACATAGAACTCTGTACTAAGTATAATATTTAAATAAATCTAGTTTGGCTGAAAAAACAACAGAGGTACTACACCTTCATCTGATTTGTTAACTGTAAGTGTTAATAAGATTCAAAACACAAAAGGCTGCAAAACTAGAACAAGAAAAAAAAAATTTTTTTTTTTAATACCTTCTGTCCATTGTCACAGTGTATATAGATCAAACCACTCCATGGGAACACTGAATGCTTTGTGGATAAGGAGGAATTAGGACTCACAAGAATTTGTAGTTTACTCCTTAAAAAAAAAAAAAATTAATATGAAATCCAAGAATATCCTATACTTCAGTAGTAACTAAAATCCAAAAACAAACGCACTGCCATCGAGTCGCTTCTGACTCATAGCGACCTTATAGCAACCCTATAGGGCAGAGTAGAACTGCTGCATAGGGTTTCCAAGGCTGTAAATTGTTATAAATCCTAAACACAAAGCAACTTTGAGATGTGAAAGTTCTGTGGTGACCAGATAAAGTCCCTGAAAAGCTGGAGAGTTCTGGCTTCATATCACATCAACAATGAAAATATGTTTAGAGGACAAATGTTTACCAATACATGATATCAAGAAAGCTTTCTTCTGTCTTTGTAGTCAATGTAAAAAATGGTAAGAAAGGCTATGGCTCATACATATTAAAAGTCATGTATGAAAATGTTCTTTAGATAAAAGGAGCAGAATAAGTGATTCCACAGAAGAAAGGTAAAAACCACCTTCATTTCAGGACACCACCCATTCATTATGTGATTATCACAAGCCCACCTAATTTCATTCCCTGCTTTCTTATTTTAAGCCACTTCAAAAAACATTCTGATTTCATCCACTCCAGGTAATCTGTCCCTATTCCAAGCTGTCTAGAACATATCCTCAACACAGGGATCAGTGGCACTCTTCACTGATTCAGGCTAGATCATAATGTTTCTCTGCTATGAAACAGCAGGATTCGTGAACTCATTGCTGTCCCCAAAATGTAAGCACAATGCTTTGTGTAGAGATAGCAGAGTGCTAATATTTAGCAGATAAATTTTGATCCTTAAAAGGTCACCATGATAACATTTGAATAACACAAAGAGGAAAACAGAAGAAAGTTTTACTTACTTTGGTTCAATAACGCCATGTTGGGGTGTTACTGTAAGGCAATGTGCTGGCCAATATAATTCAAATTTCAGTGACCTAACAGAATTATTTAAAATCTGGAAACGTCTAGTTTTTGCCATATCACCTATTATAGCAGATAAATAAAATGTTACTTGTATTTAGTATTAGTGAAAAAGTCAAATGTTAATAAATAACATAAATAAATCCTGAATAAATACACTAGTGGACTAATTTTACGTTCCCCATTGTTCAATTTTAAGAATTGCAAATTCTTGGCAAAATACACCCATCTGTTTAGTCTCATGGAAACTATACAGATACTGGCAATAGTGAACAAAGTTAGAAAAAAACGGAAAACTGAAAATTGCTACTGTATAGTCTTATCTTTACCACATACATATACACATCTGTTCCTACTCTGAACCAACTATATCAATGTTAAGACCAAGTGCCAAATAAGTTCTTCAGGGATGAAGTGGAGAGGAAGGAGTGGATAAGGTTCTGTCATACTGAAAATTTTGAGGGTTTAAATTGAGGAATATGGCCTCAAGTCAAGGAAGATACTATAGCAAAATATGGGTTAGGTGTCCAGTAGGTGAGAAGAGGACCTGGGCAAAGCAAAGCCATCAGTCAAGTTTGCCTAAGGTCCAAGTGTATATCCCAGATGTGCCAAGGAGAGCATTCCTGATGTACTGTTATATACTCACATGGAGAAGGAGCTATCAAAATCAAGTGTTCAGGTTGGACAGCCCATACTTCCTCAGAGGCAAATTTATCTTTAGGTGGGTGAACAGCTTGTGAAAGAAGTGGAAAACCTTGAGGACCTTTAACTGGTAAAACATCCAAAGAAATATTGCCACTATGCTTTCCAGAAGTTCCAGAGTCACTAGAAAATTATTTAATAATTAAAAATACAGAGAGATAGAAATTAAAAATTATAAAAAGCCAAAATGTGTCACATTTTACATTAATTTTTTAAAAATCTGAAAATATTATGACAAAACTGAAAGTGTCTGTACCATGCAGGTTTCAGTGAATAAAAATTACTTCATATTGTGTATGTATAAAAAATATAGTACAGCGTTCCTTTTTAACATCAGGTAAGATGGTGGAATAGGGAGAAAGACTGCACAGACCCTCTTCAACAAAGAAAAGGGAAAACAATTAACAAAGACACAGAAGATAATACTGGACCCCTAGGCCTTGAAAGGAAGGACATAGAAGTGGACTAAACCCCAACTAGAAGAAGAATTTGCATGACAATACCAAAAAAGGAGACATATGGAGGCGCGGTCTGGCAGCAATTCTGAGCAAGCCTGACGGCAAGGCACAAACAGCTAGGACAGTGCAGAGTGCTGGTAGGACCTAAGAATTAATCTAAAAATCAGCCCTGCTAGTCAGGGACTGCAGGAAGCACTACTCTGATGGCTGGGGAATAAAACGCAAAGCACCAGCAAAGAGAAAGGTGGGCTGAGCTGTGGACTATTGCTTGTCTAGAGGGTGCAGCCATTTTGAATGTTTACAAGTGGCTTGAGCATTTAGGATACTTAAAGACACAGCACTCTCCGAGATTCCAGGGGCTTAAGAACAGGTTCTACTTGCCAGTAACCCCAAGGACAGTCCAAACCTGGACGAATGAAAAGGTGCGACATTCCCCTTGTTACTCTTATACCCCACACCCCTTGGTGAATGGAGGTGCGGCCATAACCCACTTGCACCCACCTTCTGAGCCTGCAGTAATTCCATCCCAGTTTGTGTGCTCAGGCAGAGCCTGGGTGCCCTGCCCTCCCCTCCCCCGATGTTTTCTTTTTTTTTTCCCCTTTCTTTTTTCTGATTTTTAGTTTGCGTGTTTTTGTCTGTTTTAAAACTACTATAATTATTAATACATTTGTCCTTTTCACTATATTTTCTTTTTAATACTTTTTCTTTTTTTCTTGTGGTTAACCCTGTTCCTTGTTTTTCTTTTTGCATTTTTCCCATGTTTTTCCTTCATTATTCTCCTTCTCTACCTTATTCTCTTACCACCCTATACCCAGATATTGTAGGATTTCTTGTTATTATTTTTCCCTTTTTTCTTTTTTGGGTTACAGTTTTGGTTATGGTGAATTTTTTTCCATGTCCTTTTAGTTTTTCGATGGTTATTCAGTTGCAATTTTTGTCTAATTGAGTGGGAGACACCAACAGTCTCCATGAGACACAACTACACCTACACCTCCTGGAACTTCACTTACTGAAGGAGAGCCACCACCTCCTTCTCCATCAATGGGCCAATGATAAAAAACCACCAAGAAGAGCCTGAATAAACCTTGGCTGCTCTTCACAGTTAACAGAGATCTTAATACAACAACGCCACGATGTCTCGGGGACAACAGACCATCACAGTCCACGCAAAGAAGCAAGATAAAGTGGTAGAAACAAGGGAACAAAATACAGGTCCAGAACAAATCCCTGAGGAAGAAAGAACATTGGAACTCTCTGAGAAGGAATTCAAAAGAATGATGTTTAGCTATATTCAAAGGATTGAGAGACACACCAAAGAAAACACAGAAAACACCCTAGAAGAATTTTGGAAGAAAATAAAACAACAAAATGACAAAACATATAAAAAATTAGAAATGATTCTAAATCCACAGACAGAAATCCAGAAGATTAATACTAAATTGTAAGAAACAGATAACACATTGCAAGGGCAAAGGCACAGAATTGATGCAATGGAAGACAAAATTAATGACATTGAAGACAAATACCTCAATACTTCTTTGGAAAGGGATCAATCAGAAAAAAAAGCAATAAAAAAATGAAGAAAGCCTAGGGTTCATGTGGGATACCATCAAAAGGAATAACCTATGTGTCACTGGAATTCCAGAACGGGAAGTGAAAAATAACAGCACTGAGAAAATCGTCCAAGATCTGCAGGAGGAGAACTTACCTGAAATGATAAAAGATGAGAATATGTCCATTCAGGAAGTCCAATGAACCCCAAACAGGATAGACCCCAAAAGAAAAACACCAAGACATATCATCATCAAACTCATCAAAACCAAACACACAGACAGAATCCTGAAAGCAGCATGGGAAAAACAAAAAGTTACTTAAAAACGACAGCCAGTGAGAATATAAGCTCAGATTTCTCAGCAGAAACCATGCAAGCAAGAAGGCAATGGGATGGTATATATAAAACCCTGAAAGAGAAAAATTTTCAACCAAGATATATACCTGGCAAAATGGTCCGTGATATATGATGGTGAAATTAGGAGATTTCCAAATAAGCAGAAACTAAGGGAATTTGTTAAAACTAGGCCAACCTTACAAGAGATGCTAAAGGGAGTCCTTTGAACAGAGAACCAAAACTAGCAAATAACAACCGACCACTGATACACAAGATGACACAACCCAGAAACAACAGCTATAGATATAAAAAAAAAAAATAAAATGAGCTTACAAGATTGTAAACAGGGAACAAGAGACATCAATTTCCAAGTGAGGACAACTACAAACAAAAAGAGGGAAAATACTGTGTACCTAAAGAACTTCAAAATGGTGAGAAAGTTAAGAGAGCTGCAAGATACAAAGGACTGTTCTAAAATCAAGGAGAATATTATAAACCATAGGGTAACCTCAAAGAAAAAGGATAAACATTCATATCACAATGAAAAAGAGGAGAAGCACAATTATTCAGCAAATACTAAAACAACAGCAACAAAGGAAATGATAACAGGATTCATAAACATAATGAGCTCAGCACAGAAAATAATGAGGAACAAAGAAACAAGGAACACCATGAAAAAATTCATAACAAAATGACAGCAATAAATTCATACTTATCAATAATTACACTGAATGTTAATGGATTAAACGCACCACTCGAGAGATGGAGAGTTGCAGATTGGATAAGAAAATACAACCCATCAATACGCTGCCTACAAGAGACACACCTTAGAGATAAAGACAAAAATAGACTAAAAATCAAAGATTGGAAAAAGATATATCAAGCAAAGGGCAACTGTAAGAGAGCAGGTGTGGCAATAATTAATTTCTGATCAAATTGACTTTAAGACAAAAACCACCATACGAAACAAGGAACGACATTATATAATGATTAAAGGACCAATTGAACATGAACATACAACCATAATAAATATGTATGAACCCAATGAAAGAGCCTCAAAATACATAAATCAGACTTTAAAAGAGTTGAAAAGCCAAATAGATGACTCTACAGTCATAGTGGGAGACTTTAAAACACCACTTTCTTTGAAAGCTAGAACTGAAAAGAAACTCAACAAAGATGTAGAAGAGCTAAACATTACAACCTACCACCTTGGCCGTACAGAAACCTACAGAGCACTTCACCCAACAGCAGCACAATATACACTCTTTTCCACTGCACATGGAACATTTCCAGGATACACCATACGTTAGGCCACAAACCAAGCCTTCATAAATTTAAAACCACTGAATTACAGCAAAGCATCTTCTCAGATCATAATGCTATCAAATTAGAAATCAACAATAGGAAGATCAACAGGAAAAGACTAAACACATGAAAATTGAACACACCCTCCTTGAGAAAGACTGGATAAGAGAAGAAATAAAAACTAAAATTCAAAAATTACTTGAATCAAATGAGAATGATAAGACAATATACCAAAATCCTTGGGACACAGCAAAAGTAGTAATCAGACGCCAATTTATAGGAATAACCATACACATCAAAAAAGAGGAAAGAGCCAAAATCAACACTTCAAACCAACATCTCCAACAATTAGAAAAAGAACAGGAAGAAAAGCCTACAGAAGAAAGGAAATAATCAACATTCGAGCAGAAATCAATGAAACAGAAAATAGAAGGACAACAGAAAGAAATCAACAAGACCACAAGTTGGTTTTTTGAAAACATCAGTAAAATTGAAAAACCATTGGCAAATTTAACAAAGGAAAAGAGAGAGAGAATACAAATAACATGAAGAAGAAATGAAAGGGATGATATCACAACAGAACCAACAAAAATAAAAAGGACAATATCAGGATACTATGAAGAACTGTACTCCATCAAATTTAAAAATTTGGAAGACATGAAGAGATTTCTAGAAACACAGCATATACCAAGGCTAACACAGACTGATGTCAAAAAGTTGAACATATCCATCACAAAAGAAGAAATTGAACAGGTCATCAAAAAAAATTAACAACTAAAAAAAGTCGTGGCCCAGACGGTTTCACCGGATAATTCTACGAAACTTTCAGAGAAGAACTGATACCAATCCTACTCAAACTATTCTAAAATACAGAAAAGGATGGAATCCTCCCTAACTCATTTTATGAAGCAAGCATAAGCTTGATACCAAAACCAGGCAAAGACATCATTCAAAAGGAAAACTACAGAACAATATCCCTCATGAATATAGATGCAAAAATTTTCAACAAAATCCTAGCCAACAGACTCCTAACAACACATCAAGAAAATCGTTAATTATGACCAAGTGGGGTTCATATCAGGTATGCAGGGATGGTTCAACATTAGAAAAACAATCAACATCATCCACCATGTAAATAAAACAAAGGAGAAAAAGCACATGATCATATCAATTGATGCAGAAAAGGCATTTGATAAAATCCAACACCCATTCCTGACCAAAACTCTCAGCAAAATAGGAATAGAAGGTACACTACTCAACATAACAAAGGGCATCTATGCAAAACCAACAGCCAACATTATTCTCAATGGAGAGAGACTGAAAGCATTCCTCTTGAGAA